TGGTGTGACAATAAATTGAAAGCATATAACTTATAATCATGATTCAATGAAGTGAGTTTTGATAGAGACTTTCGCGATACACTTTTCGCCTTGACTGCATTTAGCTTTTTGTATTTAACTTCGATTATTAACGTATTATACTTGTTCCTATTGATTCTAGTTGAAAACATTGAATCATCGTTATTTACTAACTGTTGATCAGAAGAAACATCATTTTAACCATATTATAACAAACAAGTGAATTGGATTATTAATAAAGATAAAACGAAACTTGACAACGGCTTTCTTCGAGTTTAATACTCGTTATTAATACGTATAATTGATAACCTTTTGTATAAGCAGCATTATCATAAGACGTTTCGGTACCCAAATATAAAACGACGGCGGCATTCTGTGCACCTTATTGAGCGTACTACAAGTAATTTATGTCTCAGAAAATAAAACCATACTGGTAATTCGATTGAGAACCATTGGATGAAAACGAGGTAGATTTGATAAACTCATTCAACTATTGAACTATATACCTCTTCCTTACTAAGACTTGCAGAAACCCTAAATACTTTTTTATTTGATTGAAATATACAGTATGAATCTTTTTTTTTCACTTTTTTTCATGATGAATATATTTACAATACAATGACATTATCTCGAAATCTTTCTTCTCTCCATCTTATGTTTACAAAAACTTTTGATTTTATTGTGTAATGGAACTACTATCTGCAGTATACCAAAATCACCGCTCTAATAACTTGCAAAACTCCATCAAAACTCTGATTTAAACCATATCAAAGTTTTGCATTATATCCAACTGTTCACTTTCTAATTTTTAGGTGTTTTGATAATTCAGATTAACAAAATCTATTGACTTGACGATGAAGTTGTAGAAAATAACCAAATAAAACAAAAATACATTTCATAAAAATTGCAATTCTTCTGTAGTTTAAATTTTCAAAAGTATCCTTATAGCTATAAGTGGATGTCATTATGGATCAACATGAGTCGCTATATTATGTAATATGATGTTTGTTTGGGATCTAAATTTTTAGCTAATTGTATACTTCATTTCTTTAGGTTGTTATCATTTCAATATTACTTTACGATTCACTTGTATCGAAACAGAATTTTTAAAGCTGCCATCTCATCTGCAACTTATTCACCAAGTTGATATCATCGACTTGGAGTTATACTGCTTATTTTAAACCTCATAATACCGTCCAGCTGCCCAAACCAATTTAGCTGGAGCAAGGTCTGAATCTTTATTCTGATAAAATGGCTTACATTAAGTCGAGAAACGTCAGAAATACAATTTTTCTACTCATTGGGATATGAAAAAAATATATTCATTATTAACTTTGACCAGATGGTTGAAGATAAATTATTCAACTGGTAGGTCATCGTTTATTCTCAATTATATATTTATAATGAACAGATACTCTTACCTCTAAGTAATTCCTAGAAAGATTGAGGAATCTTAGCGTCACATAAAATGCAGATAAATCTGGTAAATGCTTCAACTGGCAGGCTTCCAAAGAAACCGAACTGCCCCCTGAATAGTATGAATCCAACAATTTGACTTGTTCAGGTTTTACATGTGTTGCTGTAAGATTTTCATAAAATCATTACCATTAATTGACCATCAATAAATAAGATGGACTTAACGGAATCATTACTTTTTTTTAAATTTAATAATTAGAAAAGCTACCATCTAAACAAATGTGTTTAAAATCTGAACAGTCTTATAACTAGAACCTGAGGAATCAAAATTTCATTTCCAAATGTAATAATACAATTAATCAACTAGCAAGATATGAAATTGTCTATAACCAAGTTTTAATATACGGTATGGTTGATTACTGGTGTTACTGGAACATTTATTCTCTCATGCTAAAGTGGCCTGGTGAATAACCTCACGATTGACAGTGATGTCTTGAAAAACTGGGATGAAACAAATGGTCACTTTATAAACCAACACCACTTGGAACTATGTCACATATCAAGGTAACAAAAGAAGTCTCATAATTACCCGGTCAATAGAGAGGAACAGTGTATGAAGTTATTGACCTTTATTATGAAATTTATAAGGCCTTATCTTACAGAAATTTCTATCTAGTTAAAAGTTTCGAATTGATAATTTCTGGAATTCATTTGATCACTATTTAACCTTAAGAACAAATCGTGTTCTAGACCCATTCATCCACAGTCCATCCAAGTATTTTATAAATACCCATATACTTTCATTAACTCTACTGATTTTCACGGTTTATTTGTTGAAGATTGTGGGCTACTTACAAGACCAAATGATGCTACTATAGCTACAATCGACTGATTATCTCCCGCATCCTTATTTTTAATACGAGAAGTATTTTACACAATATATGACCCAGTTGTCGTTGCATTAACATAAGGCTTGCTTGCTAAGAATGTGCATCAGCCTATATGTTAATTACTGTTGTGCATACACCTTGATATCTTCAGTACTATCTTATATATTATATATTTTCTTACAAATAAGATACAAAGACTCATGTTAGTGTCCAACTGTGAATCTCAGGGTAAAAATTTTAATTAGCTCTATTCTTGCCCATCTTATTGTTCAAAAGGTACATAGGCCAAAATAGGCTGATCAATTTTCTTACCTTAAAAACCAACATTCCTATGTTTCAAACATCTGCAACACAACGATACTTCAATGTGTTTCTGCGATTTACACACAGAAATAGAAATGCATTGAAAATGACTAATGACCCACTAAAATAAAACTAAACAGTTTCTGATAACTCCGAATAGCTTAGTTAGAATACCAGTGATGAATAAACTCAACCTGTTTAGTTTCATAATACTTACTAACCACTACATCCTAAGATTCATGTTATGAAATTTCTAGTTGACTCTTAGCTTAACACTAACCGTTTCTTTTCGTTCTCCAAATGATTAAAAAATAATCCCTGTGAACGATTAAGAAGCATATTTTAGAGCATTATATACTACATTTTGATTCAAATTTCTTGAAAGTTTTGGTGGGTCAATAAACTTATTTGTCTTGTTCTATAGTGTTTTAACTAATAAAATTAAAATCTATATCAGAAAATGACCAATAAACTCGAAAATATTACCTATTATTAATATATGTAAATGCCAACTAGTAAATGTGCGCAATATTCTAAGCCTCTACTTACATTTGTTCATTAAAGAAATGAATTCCAGTGAATAGAAAATCTGTTGAAAAGTACATAGAAATTTGTAAACTTTTCGCTAAACTAATATAATAATAATTCACTTAGTATTGTTTGCTTGCATCTTCCCATTGTTCTTTAGGACTGCAATTGATCAGTCTCTTGTTGGCATATGTTCATCCTATGCGGATTACCTCGATATTGCTTTAAGTCATAATTTTATAAGCAGTGATAAAATTGGCTAGCAGTGGAATTCAAACGCCACGCGTTATCCACTCAGCTACTGAGCAGGTGGCTATCAGGACTTAGTAGCTAAGTGGATAACGCGATGACGTTTGAAGCGCACGAAACTGGATTCGAGTCCTGGAATAAACATCAACCCTGGGATGTGAGTACATCCATCTGACGAGTCCAAAATACGACGAAACGCGCGTCCTGGATTCCATTGCTAGCCACTATCTATCTTTGCTTACAATACCGTAATACTTTTATAGTTGAATAAATTTTAATCAAACCAAGGTGGTAAAGCTCTAAATCTAAACTGACTCTTATATCACTTCTATCGTTTTTCTTTTCATTAATTTTAGATATTTTTTCTGGATAGAATTTCAGTTCAATCTAACAAGAAAATAATTCAACTAATTGAATTACATGAACGAAGAATATTCTTTTCAATAATTTCTCATCAGATTCTACAACTATCTCATATCCAAATTAATAATCCATAAAATTGGCCAGATTTAAGGCAGAGTACATCATTTGGAAATTGTAATATGTGAATCACGAATTGTTGTTTGTCAGATAAATTCAAATCAATTCGGTAATGTTGGGGCTGTTTAATATAAAATATTAACTTGAATAAGTTTATAAGTGAAATGAAATTGTGCGATAAATGATCAGAATAAATATGGTCAACATGAGGTGAGGGAGAGAGAATAATGCAATAACAATCAGAAATTACGTAATATGTAGAATAATACGAATTATGTCAGATATAGTAAATTGGGGTGGATGCTGAATGAATTTCTCAAAAAGGTTATCAAGTGTAATAATAATAATTATTATTATGGAGATAATAATAATAATGGTAAAGTTAATAATAATAAGTTTGTGACATAAAAATGAACACTAATCAAATTACGTCACCATATTATAAAATTGGTTATTAACTAGTTGGCCAGGGTAAAAGGAGCGGCTGAACATATTTCCTTTGGATGCAGAGCTCTGGCTTTTTGATCCGAATAACAATTGCTTCAGTCGTCCGCAGGATTCTCACTGTGACGGAATTAGGTAGACTTCTGTTGCATTATTCTCTCTTTCTCACCCCATATTGACCATATTTATTCCGATCAGTTATCACACAATTTCATTTCACTTATAAACTTATTCAAGTTAACACTTTATATTAAACAGCCCCAACATTACCGAATTGATTTGAATTTATCTGACAAACAACAATTCGTGATTCACATATTACAATTTCCAAATGATGTACTCTGCCTTAAATCTGGCCAATTTTATGGATTATTAATTTGGATATGAGATAGTTGTAGAATCTGATGAGAAATTATTGAAAGGAATATTCCACGTTCATGTTAATTATGTTTTAATATAATGAGAAGTATTCAGTAATTGAATTAATATTATGTCATTCAGTTTGTCTATGATATGTTCTATGTTTAAGTAACTTACTTTGATAAAACTCATTAGACTTTAAATTCTTTTGAAATTTTATCAATTTCATTGTATTCTCTTCAGATGAACTTGAAATAAATAAATAAATATGAAACAAATTATTCATTAATTCAATGTCTAATTGAAACTTACTCATACCAAATTAACTGATTTTGATTTAGTTTCTCTTTTAAAATAATTGCATAATTCACTTGATAATTATTTAATGATTGTTGAAAATTCTTTGGTATCTTTTCAATGGAACATATGATATTTGTATCAATAGTTCTAGTTAAAGCATTTCTTAATTCACGAGCTATTAATATTAAACCATGATATAATGGTGTTCGTTTTATAGGCTTAGGAATAATTTCCAATATATCATTAAAATTATTTTTTGAAAAGAAAACCAGTGGTATTAGTGGATTTTAATTGTTTTAAATTATGTGTTGTTTCTGTATGATCCGATATTTGAAAATGATTACAAATTTCGATTGAATATTGAAATTCATATTATTATTATTATTATTATTATTATTATTATTATTATTATGAGAACCAGAAGCATTTTCTATTTCATTAAACGTTTTATTTAACATACCACCTTTTATAAAAAGGCAGCCGAATCCATTGTTTACAAAATTTGCAACATCACCTTGTCGTTTATTTTTATTTTTATTCATGAAATTTATTGTCGTTCCAGTAGAAGAAAATACAATATTATTTGAAATAGGTAGATGACTGTTTGAATCGGAGTTCTTTTTTACCATAGAAATCTTTGTTTCTCTCGGTTTATAAACATTATTATTATTTTCTGATAATTTCGACTTAGGAATTTTCCTAGGTCGACGAAACAGTATCAAACCATCCATCATTTAACGAATATTTCTATAGATTTATTGTTCAAAAACCAACAAACTGTTAATTAAAACAAAGTTGTAATTATTATTGTGTTTCAAAAACCACGTGGTTATTGATTTTCCAGGAGTGACCTTAGCACTAACAATTTATGCTGATGGTTGCTATAAACAACCAGAAATTGACAAACTGCTGTCTTTATTTTGGTTTAACAACCAATTATTTCAAGTATTAGTCATTACCGCTTTAAACCTTTGGTCAACAAGCTGTCCATTTTCTAGTTACAAATGTGAATGTAGTAAGAAATATCAGTCACACCACATAGAAGTAACAACAAGGGCCAAAAATGGTCTTTTTTTACTACTGACATAAATTGCAACTAGTAAAGTATTTTTGCTAACAAAACCTTTATTCATGCAACTTCATTTGCCAAAATAAATATGCAGAAGAAGAAAAAGAACCTCATAAAATAAAAATAGTTTCAAAATGTCTCAAACGAATGAAAAGAATTTTCAATGAAACTAAATGTTGAATAGAATCCGGTAGTCTAGGGAGTTGACTTAATATTGCTAAAGACATAGAACGATAGACGTATTATACTGTCAGTTGAATGAATAGTGAAAGTGAGATGACTGAATTTCAGTTTTTAACTCTTAGTCAAATTTCTATGTTGCTTTACAGTGATATTGATATCACCCAAAATATTTCGGAATATTTCTGAAGCATTCGAGCAGATTTCAAAGAAAGTTTGTGATACAGGAATCATTATGTTTTCCGCTGCTGGGTAGGAGAACATGATATAAGTACGAAAATAGGTATTATCGTTTAATAAAGTACTAAGATATGTGAATAAAAGAGTTTCCGGGAAAAAGACTATCAACGATTACAATGCCACGAAAGCTAAAATCACCATAGATAAGTGTGTAAAGTGATATGCTCACATTATGAGACACACTTCTAGGCCTTTATTATGGTCAAATAGAATGGAGAGCTTCAGTAATATTGTTTTGTTAGCATATGTTCGTGTGATATTTAGAAGACAAACATTATCAGTTCTATTTAGAAGATTATTAAGTGTCTAGCTTTCCCGGCTGGCCATGGGTACTACAAAATGTGAAGGCGGTTGAGTAATTAATATACTTCCAAAGTATAAGAGTTATTTCCTAATCTGCTTGTTACCTTTATTTTTATTTTAGTTGTGATGATACAGAAGTTGAACCAATATCACTCGTAGATGATAGTTTGTACTACTCGTAGATGAGGTATTACAAACCTGTTAAGTAGCCATTTCATGACATGACACAACAGAGATTAATTTAATGTTGAATTTCAAATCAGTAAAAGGGTTGATATACAGGTTACTACCTTCCGGTTGACTAACAGCAATGAAATCGCTAAAATAAACAAAGTGGAATAAAAGTTTGCTTTTCAAATAAACATTTGGTAATTTATTATTATAAACAATGTGCAAATATCAGCATGAGCTTCAAATATTTCTATAAAGGTAGTTAGTCGACTTGTTTCAACAATCACACGTACCATACAAAATGAGCTAAATTGGTGAGTCAACTAATTCATCGAAATAACTTAGTAACATCTCTAAGCTCTGACGTCTAAGATGAGAGAAAATGATTTGATAAAGCATCTGACTTCTTGAGAATCATACTTTAAAACCTATAATTACCCGTAGGTATCGTGCTACTTTTAGCTGTCTATAATTTTAAAACAATTTGTACTTAGCTAACATACTACTGCTAAGCTTCTGGTCGTCTAGTAAATTTTCAACAGTTTGAAATTCTACGTATATCAGAATTATGGATATTTGACCATGACTCATATGCTGCACATTTTTAAATGTACGGTCTCCATTCACTCGATACTAACGTTTATGGTGTAGTTGCGTTAAGGTTATGTGGTGTTAATATGAACTAATGATTGTTTTTTACTTGATTCCTGGTTGATTTTGAATTCTAAATACAATGTATTCCTTTGTGCTCACTAGTTCTATCTGGCTCAAATTACACTGTTTTGCGAATTCCTAGTTGACACAATAGTTCAAATACTTCTAATTACCATAGGTTACATCAAGCGACAACTGCATACTATGACTATCCTAACTTAGTGGCTGAGCTACCACGTTTCCTAAATGTTCAAAGAGAACAAATAAAATCTCAGCACAAGGATCGTTTGTTTGACATAGTGATAAATAGAGTATGACAATTATTCTATGGCCCAAGTAAGTTCTATGATTGCGTAGTGCACTTTGGTTATCCTCAAATGTGAAGAGACTTGGCTAGCGAGCCACCGTCACATGATCGGTTTTATTAGGTAGCAACGGTACAGCTTATTTGTCAATGTTACTAGGCTAAACACATCAACCACTTGTGAGAAGTCCATAATACACCCGTCGCTTTCCTAACTGTAGTTCAATAAGTCATGTCTCAACTTTTAATTTTTTTTGGCCAAGTTCATTTTTTGTAACTGTGTTATTACTCGTCAACGTGCACGTTAACCTAGGTCGCACATACGTAATATAATATTATTTTCATATCATTTGAATGTGATAGTTATTTGAACCACCTTTAAAATTTTCCACCAAATCCATTAAAGTCATTATTGCCATACGTATTTTGGCTTATGAATTGGACTTACATATTAGTCGCCTGAAAAGACGTTGAACAAAGTTAAGATATTAAGGTCACCGCATTAATATATTATCTTGCTGCATTGGTAAAATTACTAAACTGTGAAGTAGTTGTTAATAAAGCAAGCGTTCAATATAAAAACTCTGGAGACTACTAATACCACAAAGCATTGTCATGACTTGAAAACCACTTAATATGATTGGTAAAATTGGTGAAACTATAAACAAACTCAGTCGATAAATCAACTAACAATGATCAATAAATGGTTTTTTCTCGTGATTATCTTTATTTATTGCAGATTATCTCGATGTTTTTCTATCAACTGATCGTTTAGTAAGCATCTTAGAACCTTTTCAATCTAATTGAAGGTGTAGCGACACAATCATTCATGCAAATCCTCAGTATTATCAGTCGAGCTAATCTCCTACAAACTGAAAATATCACTATCAAATTTACTCCAACGTTGACAAAGGTTCATGTCATTATCATTGACATGAGTCGGGGGTTGTTAGTCCCTTGGCTATAACTTATATTCACCCTGATAATCATACAAGCAGCACTTACTGTTTATCATCGTGTAAAGACTTATTTGGCCAAAAGCATCGTACAACACCATGACCCCTATATTTGTACCATATAAGGTTTTTTGATTTTAACACCTTATTATCATCATATCATCTTATTTATTTTTACACCTCTATGACCTTATTATCACTCAAGTTGATGCAAATCGATCTCTCTATTATCCCGAAAATGATACTTGTAACTGACTTGTATACACCATCAACCAGTATGTGTGGATATATATAATTGGCCTATTGCCAATCAGAACATTGAGTCTAGGGCATGTGTTTTGCGGATGCACTCTAGTTCAACAAACTACTGTCAGTTATCTGTCCGAAATTCACATAGTCACCAGTACTTCCAAGTACTAAGTGAATTTTTAATAACAGTTCATATGTATTTGTAGTACTACAAAAATCCTATCACGGTTAAGTAATAATGAGGTCGTGGAATCTCTCCGCAACTATATAAATCAAATTAAACTTTAAAAACAAACTGGAACACTAGTTGGTTTTTCGTCTCTCCAGTTATACATATGTTACTTCAGTTAGCCTATTAATGCAAATGCAATTGAATATCAACACATACGGATAGCATACGGACATTATTTGACTTTCTATCTTGAACCAAAGACAACACTAATATCAACATTATTACGATGGTGATTGTTTTTCTGTTTATGAGCACAAACTACTGGTAATAGCTATATGTTAAGCTACTAACAAACGGCCATTACTATGTGTAAAATTTATGTTGCGGGTTTTAAGTGTAAAAATCCCTCCGTGCTTACACTCATAATTTATTCTTATTGATTCCTTCAGATGCACATTGTGTTGGTCATTTTGATTCCATTTTAGATGGTAATATTTTTATCATAGTTTTTATGATTCTTACACCTTCACTGAGTTTCCATGTTTCTTACTGAACTGCATTTGTGTTGTTTTAGTTGACACTTGATCTTGGCGTCAGCCGTATTGATTTATTACCCCCTTTCATTGTGTTGCTTGCATTGACTGGAATTGTGCGTCTTTGATTGTGAATTGAAGCACTCTTCCAGAATTGAAAACACTGTGTTATGAAGCAACCAAATACTATCTTTCGAACGAATCTGTACGTGATCTATCCAGAAAGGATAGAATAACATTTATTTGTTGCGCTTGGTAATTTTCTTACATCCTTTATCAAGTTGTTTATTTATTGTAATTTAGATTTGATTACTGGGTGAACGATTATTGGTTGAATAACTGGGAGGTAATATTTGTTTAGGTAATAATGTACATTTATATTCATAAAAAAATCTAGTACCGTCATTTACCCAGTCACCTTGTTTTCGTTTCAACTGGGCAATAGCGCGTATCTAAACTACCTAGACATTTATTCTTTGATCCAAACATTAGTTTGCATTCTACACTATGAATCGTAATGGGACTAGGTAAAATATCTCTATGCTAAATTGTTCTTCTTTAAGGTAACGTTGTTTTGTTTGACGCTTAAATAATATATAAGTAGATTTCTATTTTGAGCGTGTTAATAATTAAGCCGAACATTTTTGAATTACCATATATATTTCCTGATCAGTTACAACCCCCTTCTTCATCAATTGTCCTTCAACTTGTCAGTACCTGCAAGACTCGAATTATTTTTTTAGGAACATTTGGCGTGCAATTTTCTAACTCCATTTGGTATCTAACCAACGTCACGTTGATTCTGGTGGGAGAATAGTGTAGAAGTACTGGGTTCCAACCATATGATCTTTGTCGCTGAACGTATAATTACTCAGAAGATTTACCCTTTTCATGTAACACTGAGAGAAAGTTAAGAATATTGAACACGGCAGCAGGCGATCAAAATGGTATGATTTGGCCACATTTTATGAACTCTTACTTTTTGTATCAAATATATTACTCTCTTCTCACATCAAATATATTCGCCAGAAGTGCTAGACTTCCTATTGCTGATCGTCACGATCGAACGAGTCATTGTAAACAATGATGGGACTTACACATAAGATCCTACAGACCATGTGATCGCATCATGACAAATCTAGGATTTTAAGATTAGGTCTAATATCATAGTAGTACTAGTATTGGACTAGATCATAATTCTACAACCATATCAAAAGCCACGGCAACAATCCCCGCCAGTATACCAAATTCATCTAACACAGGCTCGGCCGGACGCGTGATTATGAAAGCCATATCCTGAGCTCATACACTAACGAAACCACTGGCTATTGCTAATACCCAATATCTGTTAGTGATAAGTAGAAGTGGAAGAACGTTGAAGAGCGGATTTGCTAACACACTTCAAACTACACTCTGTTTGAAAGCCAGAAGACGGACGCCGCTGTAGAGATACCCCAAGTGCCTCTATAGAAACGTAAGAGGACTGAAAAGAAACTGAAAGGAATCGAAAAAATGTGCTTTCATTTAAATCTCGAGACCAGAGTCTTCATTGACATTGGGCTATCGCCCAACATCGCGAACTAGTAAGTGAACCTACAATATATGACACTTACGGTATAATAGGGTACACAAACAGGTGTAGTGCCAATATACACCAATAGCCGCTTCAAAGCCGCAACAACACAAAGTACCGAATTAATCGAGATGACAGAATCATGCCGGTGTTGCCTAAGTGTGAACGGCGAAACGTTATTAAGTGAGAGAGTATAATGACCCTCCAGAGGTTCGAAAGCCCAGAAAAATTATATAATAGGCGCACCAACAGAAAGTAGTGACCATGGTACAGTCATATTTAACATGATCATAAGCGAAGTACATCAGCGAGACGAGGATGTTCCCTACCTTAGCAACACTAGAGCAGACTACACGATTATGATGAAGCACCCTTAGCATTACTCTTGACTGAAAGAATGGTGACAGATAACAGTAGAGAACTATGGGTAGTAAGGGACGCTCGTGTATTTTTCGTAGCAAAGGTTTCAAAGACAGGTTTCACTGACCCACTTTTATCCTGGCTCTAAGACTATCTCTGGAACAGAATGTTTCATAGTAACATAAATAGTGCTCACGCGACCAAGAATGTCCCAACATCAGGATTTTTACAAGGAATGGTCTTAGGTTCATTAGAAGCGAAGATGATCCTTTTGAGCTCCAAAAGAAAACGTTCAATGATAGAGGAATGGGCAGTAGACAGTGATTTAAAACTTAACCTGTCGAAACGTCGTACGATAAACATTCATCTTCATTTGACACAAAGCACTTGCACTCTCTACGCAGAATCCTCCCACAAGCACATACAGAGCGAGATCCCGGTCCAGTATCTACAGAGAGTATATATACTTGCTCTAAGTAAACATGGGATTTAGTCAAGGTAAACACGACTCTACTTTGTGCTTTTTTGACTTGGCGCAGTCGTCCCAGAGTTGTTCCTAACATTGTTTAGAATGTGCGCACGCCCCATCTTCATGTCTAAAACGTCACTGCGCCACCTCTCTTCCAAAACATGGAATCTCTTGGGCTTATTCTTATTTTGTGTTCATAAACACGCTTTTTAAACCATTTGCGTATTTCTATCCCCTTTTTTCTCCTTTTCCTTCTTTAAAGCCAATTCAATATTCTTCTCAATTACACAGGACCTGAGTTATTATTATTATTATTATTCTATTATCATTACCATCTTTTTTCTCATTTTCAAATATGTCATATGTAATGCTAACGTTAGTGAAACTTAGGGTTATATCCTAGTAAAGATTACATTACTAGTAACGTCTGAGACCTAATAATGGACAATTATTATTTAGATATTCTCATGGCATAAATATTCAGTAACTAGACTATATATCTCTGTATTCCCCTTGTTATAAGCTTTATTTTGACCTAGAACTTATTATTGTGCGATAAACTGTTCTTAAGCTATGTTCAGTTAATTGACTACTGCCTTCCACGTTCACAGCCACTTTTTAGCTTTATTGTGTAAGAATTTTATTTCCTATTTTATTGTGCGTTGAGGTCTGTTTGGTTGATATATAAACCCAGTATGTTTGAAATAAATGATTCGCATAGTGTAGGCTGTTATTGGCATTCTGAACTCAGCTGGACAGGTTAGGCGAGCAACAGACCAGTAGGGAGGCTAGGCTGATCAGACCGGTCGGACGTCATTGGTTTAATGCAGTATGAGAGCGAATAAATCGTATTTTTGTTGGCGAATAGACCACGTGATAACAAGCGGGCCATAAAGTCACAACACTTAGGTTATATTGCATTTTTGAAGAAATACAAAGTGGTTTCTTCACATCACTTATGTACCCATAAGATGTTTGTGAATAATTGCAATAATGGTGTATGGAGATCACCAATCAGTGGGTGTCTGGGCCAAAACATAAATCTTATGAGGACAGACTTTGGCATTATTCTCTCTGATATGCAGGAGGATAAGAGGTGATTTGGTGATGGTATACAACATATTAAATACGTCAAACCACCCCGACGTGAGCATATTCCCAGAACAAGCATATTACTCGTATTTGTGATGTTCTCTTAGCCTAGGTGACTACGACGGTCTAATGGATAGCTTTAAAGGAAGATTTCACAATCACGTACTCCCCAAACCAATCTCCTGCCTGTTAATGTAATAACTGCTAGTATCCAGAAACCCGACTGTCCTAAGACAAACGCACCCACTGAAATATACTATATACTTATCCACAAATAACTGCCACACTGAATAAAACTAGTGCAGTTGAGTGGATAGACCACCACATATTAGACATTTAAAAAATACCTGATAATGTAGCGAAGTAACAAATGATCGTGAAGAAATCAAATTTTTGTACAAGCTGGTGACAAAGATATTGCATTCACAAAGCACTGACTAAAAGCGCTTTGATTTTGTGTCCATGCAGTTCATGAACTGACACTTCAACCACTGAATACGTGGCAATATCGTTTTGAATGATGAGAGATTCAAGTCACTGTTTCGGTTGAAAATGTTTAAGCATTTATTAACTGTCATCAGTGTACCCTAATTCTGTCCATCTCGGTGAAGCTAAGACTTGTGAAAAACCTTTGAATGACGTGAATTAGGCCTTGAGAAGGTGAATAATAAGCATTATGATTTGTAGTTGATGGTTAGGGTTAAGAATTAGATTTAAAGTTTTCATTGCAAAATGGCATCAGGGCCCAAAGCGCTACTTAGCTATACGAATGATTAAATTTTGAGCCAAAATCCATGATCTGTTTTCTTAAATCTGGTCGGTTCGTCCATAAGTCTTCTCCATTCATTTATTTGCTGATCGACAAATCTAAAACCTCACAGTTAAAATTATGATGGAATGTCATCATATACGGAAAATAACTGCATCCAGGGGGTAAGACATGTTATCTAACAGAAAACTGTGTAACAAACTTTCACAGGTTTTGTTTAGCACAACAGATTTTTAGTTGTCATGCTGACTACCAGTGACACATTTACAAATATGAAGACTGGTAAGCCTGAATACTCAAGAGGGTGGCAATATACAGCAACCAATCTTTTGGGCGATAAAAGAGAGAGCATGTGCAAGAATGTTTTACTTCAGCGAGTAGATTTATTCCTTAAGTCAATTACTATTTCAAGTCAATTCTAGGACGCAGTAATACACATTGCCTAAAAGTCCCTCCCCCACCATTCACTTACGGAATAAAAAATGTAAAAACCAGTGGTGTCTCAGATGGTATGTCATTCCTCTAATTATTTTTAGCCCTTCACTGGATTGATGATACCACAATACGTCAGAAGTCTAATGACCATATATATCTAACTCGGGACTTCGTGGCACTAAACTGTGATAGTGTAAGGCAGGGAGTGACAACAAGCAAGGAAATGACTCACTTTAGGGCGTTACACGATAGATTGAGATCGAAGCAAGCGAAACGCAGATCAAGAACGGAGTCACCAAAACTACATTTGGATGTCACTCATGGTATGCCTAACAAGTGAGTACTTTTAATACCATTATTCAGACATAACTCTTCGTCGAAATAAGTACGACCCCATCTGTTTATTTTTCTAACTAGTATCCACCTCTTGTCTTGTTATACAGTTTTATTTGCTCAGTAATAATTCACCTATTGCTTGCGTTGGCTACTCCGTTGAGTCCAGTGGAACTCGACACCCCAAATACAAGGGAATATTCAGAAGACTATGTGTGTACTTTTATTGATATGTTGCGGTACTGAATGAATTAAGTTTTCCCCACTTTTAAACTACATGTAAGATTTGCCAACCAACAACAGGTGTGTGTGGCACATTCGACAGAAATATTACCAGCAAATGTTCCTAAGGAATTAAATGAAATTGAATAAATTTAACCCAGTACTAAAGAGCTTATAATTTTATTCTTTTAAAGCATCCCAGTCTCAATATGAAAAGACGTCCGTTGAATTCTGAAGACGCTCTACATCACATATTGATATCCTTTTAGCTATCAAAAACAATTTAGAACAAGTTTCTACGCTCATGAAAGAACAGTACTTCTTCATGGAAGAAGTATTAGTAAATGATAACAATAATTCAACACGATTGATAACGTTATTATCGACCACAGGAACGAATCTTACTGTTTTAGTTATAATTCAATTCGCATGCTTAGATTAGTCATAAAAACTGTGTACGAACAGCATTCGACAAACATCTGGATTACAACGAACTACTCACTTGATAGTTTGGGCTACCTTTTTTAACAAACCCTGATAGCAAACTAGGGCAATAGAAAAACCTATTCTGAAAACTCCCCATAATCTTATATTATCAATGGTCCAGCACCGCGTTATATTTGTAACAGCCGTGACAATTAAGTCGGCAGCTGAACAGAACTATCTCACTTTTCGTATGAGAACTTAAAAGATCTGCTGAGAGTGCATGAGTCTGTTGATTACTTAGCATGCTGGAGATACTAGCAGTGAAACAAAAGCACGACTTTTTACTGGCTGTCTTCATAACTTTCAAGTATTTCTACACATAGAGTTTAGGACCCTGTCCGGCAGTCTGTGATCATAGATAGATCGACTTCAAACACTTATTGTCAAAAATCGCGGTCCGAACTATCATCAGTCAATTACATGGTCAAATGGCCACATCTACTAAGAGACTGTTTCGGACCCAACAAGATCTATAGTATGGTGCATTACAACCGCAGTAGAAAACTAAGACCAGTACAGACTGAATATGTTGTGATCTAGAAATACTCAAGAGTGCAAACATGCATGGTAATTATTGCCACTACTGAAAATTCATGCTCCATTAAAACCTAATTTCCACATTTATTTAGAGCCTCTACGCCAATTCAAGAAATCCTTTCAAACAAATATCAAAAAGACTGGATTGACGCACAGATGAAGAAACCAGACAAACTAGAAGCAAAATTAGTTGGACTAACGGTATAAAATGTATTATTAAATAACATTTCATACTCAGAGCATGTCCAGAAGAGTTAACCATCCTGACACAGATGCGATGGTTAAAAGAAATTGCATGAGGAAAAAGAAAGAAGAGAGCTTCTGGAAGTTGAAGAGGTTTGAACAAAATGTAAGTTTACAAAAACTTTTAAATCCTCATGTTTAGACAATCTACTTGAACTGAGATATACATGTGGCTAGTAAGACCAGAAGAATTAAACAAATGCTCTGCTTGACATGTACAGGAGCACCCCACAAATCGTAATAATTCTAAGTGAACTCAATAAGCCAATGGCATTCGACAAACTATGGCGAAAAAATTGAGACTTAATACTTAGCGATGTACGATTAAAACTAAATCCTCACCAGCCAAAAGGATTGGGTAACTGGTTTGTGATCACCACTGACTTTGAAGTGATAATCACGTATACCAAGATCAAAATCATAGAATTTTAAGTTGGTTAGTGAACACAATAACTGATGTCTGATAACTCGTTTTGACGGTTGGTACTTAAGTAATTCAAAGGTAATTGAAAGCGAAAAGTTTGGCAGTGTGAGATCCCCACCCATCTCTACCATATGTCATCAGATGGAATTTCCTATCTAGCTGGAAGAAATTGTGACTTATTGTTTGGAGAAAAATACACTACTTCAATTTAATCTATTTGTTTTTATATATGCATACTAACTCACTACCTAATGATTATTTTACGGTTTTTTATTGTTACCGAAATTTACGGGAACTAGAATGGTGTTCCTAAACCTTCTTACCTGAATTAACAAAGCTAGTGTGTGTTTACAAAAGCGGAACGTGTGAAAATATGTTGACAAATCGATATCCCTTTGACAGTAAGCAACTTATTTGCAAGACAGATAATTACACTATCACTTGTTTTTAGAAATCAACCAACTGCCATTCTTATTCAGCAAAATATCTCCAATATTGACTAATATGTTTGTTTAAAACAGTATAGGGACGCTGGACACTCAATAATACAGGTTAGTGGGATAACCGTGATTACCGACCGGAGTTGCATCAAATCTCATCTAGATTTAAAGTCTAAATACCGTTACATACTTTTCATCACAAGAATTCATTCACTTAATTCAAACAATATTCCTTGTACTTAGCATCCTTAGTATTAGTGATGATACTATGATTTAGACTTGTTTGCAATGCATTTTGTGAATATCACATCGGTGTTGGATAATTGGGGTTGGTGTAGAATCATCCCGGGTCCTAAGTTTATTCCGGATGAGTAATGACTAAATTATTTTAATCTATATTGTTTAAACACAACCACTTCTGTATTTTAATTTTAGGCTGTCGGGCGGATAAACACATTTAGAAACGAAGAATGTAGAAGACTTGCATTTGAAAAAGATAAAAGCAGTAAGATATCACGAATCGGATTACATGGTCATGGAATCCAACGTACAGGAGAATGTGCATAAAAACCATTTGTCTTTATGCCGAAGAACTAAGAAAAACACGTTTATTAGGAAACAGCCCAAAGTAAACTAGAAATCTGCAGCAAAGTTGTTTACCTTGAAAACAACAACTTCATTATTTAATTATCAGTTTTCAAAGCATTTTGGTGGTACGATAAGAATAAAAGGGCCGCATTCTGCGTAAATAAGGGTCGAGATAGTGCATCTTACCAAAATATTGTCTAAACTATTTTGTAGTGAAACTAAACTAAATGCAAATGAACCTTTAAAATGTGATATATCTGTTTTGTAACTATTCTTAAGCAAACAGTGATTTAATAGTCTAAACATAAGACTCTCATCCACCAACTCATGAGTTAACATCTTATTTTATCTAATTTACTTTAAACAGTAATAACTGTTGTCATGCGACACATAATCAGTAAACAAGTGTTTAAAAAAATACCTGGTTACTACTAGTCTATCGACAGCATGCTTGCAAGCTGTTTATCAATCAGAGTAAAACATTTTTACAATATAAGACATTTAAAGGGTACTTAAATTTGTACAAAGCATTAAGACAGAAGTAACTAAGGATTAAAACCAAGGTATTCAACTATGAAGTCAATTTAACTGAGTAAAAATTTGGTTTTGAGTACCGAAACATTGTGCGAAAAAATTAACTGAAATTAATTTACAGATGCAGGTCGTTCAAATAAAAGATATAAGAAAGACTAGATAAAGTACCTAACACAATATCTCGATGAAACCGTATGTTTTCACAGGTTTTTCTTATCTTTATCTGTTGAACCAGCTGAACCACACTGATTTGCAGTGCCAGAAGTTTGTTTCTGGTTAGTGTATATTTCATTTAATGAAAAAGCATTGATCATATTATCCCAAGTGAATGTGAATTTCTGTACTGTTTTCTTAGGTGTATTGATTATAGCAGGTCTGCGTGTCAGTTCATGACCTTGACGAAATAAGATCAGAGTAGGAAGCTGTTTAGACCAGGAGGATGTATCAATGTTATGTTTGATGCCGACATCTGGATATCGTATTACATCGATTTTGCCAAACTTCATAAGATCTGTTCCAAATTCTTCTGACAGTTCTGCAAAAATAGGTTGTAGTTTAGTACACGCAGGTGACCACACAGTATAAAAAGCAACGAGCCATGTTACCTTAGGGTTACCACGAATAACTTCTTGTTCAAAGGTAGTATCTCGCAAGTATAAAACTTTATCGGGTCCATTATAAACAGGTTGTTGTAAAAAACAGGCTTGCACTAACCATAAAACACCATATAATATGGCATATACAACATTCTGTTTCCAGAACATAAGTAGACTAACGATTTTAGCAAACATGTAAAAATGAGCAAGATAATCGGGAATAGAGAATTGACGCTTATTGCGCAATGCGACGAAGCTTCCTAAAAATATCAACATTTCATATTCTTGGAGATTGATGTAACAATCATCATACATCCATGTACAAAATAATGGAACAGTTTTTGATATAAAAAAAAGAGCGCTAAGTAGCATATTCACGATAAAGTATGGATGAAGTAGTAGCTTTAAATCCCGCTTATGTTTCATCTGTAAAATTAAAAGAAGGAAATAAAAATGTTATAAATGAATTATGGAATCGCATCAAAGTGATAGGATCGAAGCTGTAGTGATGGCTACTATTTTAAGCCTACATAACTTATTCTAGCTTCCTCTTGAGTCACGTTTTGACCTTGTTAATTATTCACTTATCAGCTGTTTCCGTATGAGCGTATGTGTGTTCATTTTCTACCTTAGTCATAACATGTCTCCAACTTATTTTTGTTCGGTTATAAATATTGATTCACTCTTGGTTAAATTGAGTTGGCTCACATACCATCTCCACTGAGCGTTATTTCACTTCGCTTTATTCCCTTTGCCTTCTTCGCTTTATTTCTTTGATCGTTTGCCTTGACCAACAACCGTACGAAATATACGTATTCAAAAATCCATTCTCGTATTTGACCTATTTGATGCCGTTATTCAACAACGCGAGTTAAGTTGATAATTATATACGACTGGCAATATGTCTATTTCGATAATAATCATACGATATTACTGGAGTCAGATACAGGACCACTCAAAAGCCTCAATAATCAGGAATCATTAAAACGTCAATTATTGATCCAAGAAATAATCACAATCGACCACACAATCCTACAAGAAAACTAATGTGGTTTTCCAATTTATTTAGTTATGATTCTGGTACTAATCAGTTGAAAAGAAAATTTCAATTAATCTCTAGAAGACTGAGTATGTTGCAAATAATTGTGGTCGTATATAATTTTAATATCAACTATTGAGACTTATCAGACGACTCATTTAAGTCATAAGCTTAAGTACCATTTGGGTGGCCCAAGTGATCGAAATGTAATTTAGCCTGGGAATCAAATGGTTATGCATTTGATGTTTGAGACTTATTACCTGAGAACTCGAAGTTACAGCTTGCTTTAATCAGATTTCCAGCCTTCCAATAAAAGCCCTTTATTAATATAATTTATATGAAACAAATACTCTTTTAAAGTGGGAAGCCCTATGGTCATTTTCCATAATTTTGACCTGCAATTTTCTACTGTTTGCGAGATTTAGATTCGAAAGCTTGAGCATTTGACTCTGGAAATCAGGCGATGAGTTTAAAGATTATTTAAACACTTTTGATTTAGTTTGAGTACTACCTATACTGGCTGCTAACCAGTCCCATGTTCATCAAGTTCCTTAGTGCTAATCAAAGTTTATCAACCGAGTTGCAACGCGAATACTAGTACGAGTGACTTGAGATCATGTACTTTCAAAATTAAATGGTCAGACGCAATCGGCAAAATATCTTGAACCGAGATAGGGTGCTACATGTCACTAGTCAACAAAGTCCTCAAATGTCCTGTTGCAGCCGAGCGTGGGGCGAGTCAGCTCCCCCCGTCAAAATCCTCCCACATGGCTACACGTATACAGCCACTGCCAGGGAAGTCCTGCTCACTGTCTTCTCGCGGCGGGGGTGTTGTTTAAGAAATTGAGAGGACGGAAAACGAATGTCCGGTGCCCTAAACCGGTTGGTGGATATGGATGATCCACATAGGGACGTTGGAAAACCCTGGTTCCAAACCAATGGTGCACATGAGCTTCAGTATCCTGAAGGAACATGGTGTACGAACCAATCGTTGGTTACCGGCTACCATGGGACTGTATCTCCTGACGTTGCTCTACTACTTTGTGGATCAGAACTTTAGGTCCAAGGATCCGGGTTTGGGCACCCGGGCAGTATTATAGCCCAGTCAGTCAGTTAGTAACAACGTACAACTTGGTACGTATGTACGTACATCATTTCGAGTTGCCATGCCACATTAGTGCAGAGATGAAGTTGTCGATTCAAATCCCGTAGTTATAGTGGTAATAAGAGTATAAGCAGTAATCGGAAAGACGAGGGTTTAGGATGTTATTCAAGCAGTATAATCCAGTGAAATAAATTTGGAAAGAGAAAAAAAGGGACATGAAGAATTCAGGTTAGAATTTGGGAGAACACAAAGAGTGGATGCACCTGCGCCATTGCAAACGATTTTGAGCCATGTCATTTAAGATCATAGCCCAGACACAAATCAAGTGACTTGTGTGGTGCATGTGTATTCGGTGCCCCTTTGTACTAATATATGTGTTCAAATAATAATACTAGTCAACAAAACGTACCTGTAATTATGATTCGAACTTGCACCATAGCCAGAGATAACACTTCTGAGCTGTTTTGGAAGAGAATGACTTCTTTTACGATAGATATATACATTACTTAACATCGAAATACAGTATAAGCAAGGTCGTCTCATTTCAACTAATAGTCACGTTGTGACTGGGTTGAGATTCCATCAACAATAAAGACTAAATAAACAGGACGTTAGTAAGTTATATAAGGTATGTAATCGGTAAATACCGTAAATATCTCATTTCTAAAAGTGGTCAGTCTCAAGTTGAACAGCACAAAGACAATGTCTCTGAAAGTGATACTGTAAGACACAGGCCACCAAAAGATTTAAGATACACATTATTGATAAGTGACAATTAAGAATACCATTTGGTTAAGAGCATCAACCTGACCGCCTACAATCATCTATCACGAGCAAAAACCGCAATTCTCACAAAGCAACCATGTACAATGACGCGTAAAGCCCAGCTTAAAGATGCGTTGACTAGTTATTTAATACAGAGTTGTAGGTTATCACTGACCAGGCTGCAGGTACGTTCCTATTGGTAAAAGTATAGTCAGACTTTAAGCAGTCAACCAACTGACTGAAATGTAGATTATTTATTTTGTTTACTTATTTGAACATAAATATTGGTATAAGGGGACACCATATATATATATATATATATATATATATATATATATATATATATATATATATATATATATATATATATATATATATATATATGCGCCAAACAAAACAATGAGAATGGGAAGAGAAAAAGGAAAGTAAGGAGCGTAATAGAAAAAAAGAACAACTACAACCACAGATTAGTGTAAGGTAGTGAAATAATCAAAATAATGGGGGAAACGGAAAGGTACAACCAGGAGAATTCTTTCAATTAAGGAAAATACAACCACTTTTTATGAAATAAAAAAAGGTTACAGCAGGATCGCCAACGACTTTTATTCCGAGCCATATCTGATAACGTCTCCAACCACTGTGTTGACCATCTCTTGGACCACAACCACGGAGTCATGAAGGACCGACACAAGCCAGCCCCTTTACAGCTTTTTTTCATACCACGACACCATGTCATACACTGACCACCTCTCCGCTTCTTCCAACCAGTCCCAGAGTCGGCAAATAATGCACGACGTGGAATTCTCTGGGATGACATTTGTGCAACATGTCCAAGCCACCGACGTCGGTGTTTCAAGATGGTGACACCAATTGCATTATCGTCGCTGTGTCCGAACACACGATACCGAACCTCTGCATTACTAACATGGTGTTGCCACTGGATGTCAGCAATCCTTCGGAGACAACGATGGTCAAACACAGAGAATCGTCTAACATCCACAACTTGGAGAGGCCAGGTTTCACAAGCATAAAGCAAAACTGCTCTCACCGACGCGTTGTAGATACGACCTCTTACAGCCAGACTAACATCACGAAGGCGCCAAAGATGGCCCAGATTGGCATAAGCCGCTCTGGATTTCACAATAAGTGCATTGATCTCACCACGAGATTGGGCAACCCTGTCTAACCCCTTTCCTTGAATGGAACAATGGAGAAAGGTGGTTGTATGCCCTCACTCTGCCTGAGGTGTTTGTATATAGGGCTTTTAGAATGTTAATAAACTTCTCAGGCACACCCTTCTTCAATAGACAATCCCAGAGAACAGTCCTGTCCAACCAATCGAAGGCAGCCCTGATGTCAGGAAACACTACGATTGTTGACCTTTGATAAGTATGACGGTGTTCTAACATTTGGCGGAGGGTGAAGATATGATCAATACATTCTCGACCAGAACGAAAACCAGCCTGCTTCTCGCGAGTCAATCTTTCTCGGGTTTTGAACAACCTACGAAGTATGATGAAAGCCAATAGCTTGGACGCAATCGGAAGTAGACTTATCCCCCGATAGTTGTTACAGGAACGACGTGAACCCTTTTTAAAGATAGGGACAACTATCAACTCATTCCATGACGTTGGTACACTCTCTAGTTCCCACACCTCTGTAAACAACACAGTCAGTTCCTTAGTCAGGAAGTCACCACCATCTTTAAATAGGGCCGTAGGTAGGTCATCTGAACCCGGTGACTTGTAGCGCTTCAAGAGTTGGAGTTCCTTGAGGACTTCCGCCTCATTTGGTGGATCAGCCGTTACAGGCCATGGAGGGGAGGGTAGTCTGATTGGTGTTGCCGGGGCAACAGACCAGTTGAACTGCTCCTATCGTCCAAGACGTCGATTGATGTTAGTGATTGGCATCCCGTCGTCCTCACAGATTGTTTCGCCCACACCAGACTTCTTGCTGCCAGTGGCTCGGATGAGTTGGAAGAGCTTCCGGCAGTTACCAGATGCAGCTGCTGCTTCCAGCTCATTAGCACGCTCCGATCACCAGGCTTCTCGGTCCTTACGCAAGCTTTGCCCAATTTCACTACGTAACATCCTTCGTTTGTGGTCAAACTCACGGTCACCCGGAGTAGACCGACGGGCTTCAATGAGTTGTAAGGAACCAGAAGAAACCCAGTGCTTAAAAGCGGGACGTTTCGCAAACCCACAACTGACTGTTCCCGCCATTTTCATGGCGTCATGCAATTGCAACCAATGCTCATCTATACTTTTCGGTGGAATGGTAGCTAGCCTAGAAGCTAGCTCGGTTCGATACTTACTTGCAACAGAAGTTGCAACCAGCTTGCTAGCATCAATCCGTTGGTGGCGGTCACTTCGTTGTCCACTGAAAAGTAAGGTAAGATTGAAGCAGACCAAGGCATGGTCAGAGTCCAGATAGGTACTCTAAAAGGAGCGGCAGTCTTGCACACAACCACACCAGCGGTAGCTGACCGCGATATGGTCAATCTGAGTCCAGGCTTGAGATGCAGAGAGAGGACAACAGGTGGCACATCGGCGATGGCTGTGCCGAAAGTTAGTGCTAGCCAGAAACAGGTTGTGGTCTGTGCACAGTTGCAGTAGATGGGCCCCGTTATCTGTCCTGCGACTACCAAGTCCCCATCGGCCACCTAAACGACTCTCTTCTGTGCCTAGACGCCCGACCTGAGCATTTAAGTCTCCGGCTAGTAATACAATATCTATCGAACGCACTTTCTGGAGAAGAACAGTTAACTGGTGGCAGAACTCATCATACATTGGAATAAGCATGTTAACCCAACACTGGAATTATGAATTTAGTGCACAGTCAGTTAGAGCATAACTTTGCGATCTATAATTAACAGATCAGTCTAGATAGATGCGAGAAACAACAATTAGGTCTTGAAATGTTTTCTACTTAAGTTTCTCACAAAATGCCAAGTATCCCGGTGAATACACAGGGACAGATCAAAACACCGACGTAATTTTCGAAAAGTACTTACATTTACGATGTGGGTATCAAATATCGTACATATCAGTAATCAGTAAGTAGAAATAAGGAGTGAAATATTTCTCATTGTTAGTTAACGACTTAAAAATATGACACTACGTGGCTCCATGTGCGGGGAAATAGTTACCTAGTTCTTAATTCAAATGAAGCTTTAGCAACGAAATCTTTGTTTCAAGATTACGGTTCTTCTAATTTCACGGTTTACTTGGCATATTATATCACCAAAATATGGCAAAAACGGGTCACTAAAAGGTTTTCAGTCATCACTTGATAAACAATCGGCTCATACAGGTCAATGAAGAATCTGAAAAGAATGTCTATTAATTGGTAGACATTTGATATACACAGGATCACTTTTGACATCATAGTGATTTGCCGATGACTTTCGACTCCTACTGTGAATTTGTTCAGATCCTTAGACTTACACTTCTTAAATTATGCTGGTAAAATGATAAGTAAAAACCGAACCCCAGGTAAACGTTTGCTGGCCCTACCGTCACAGATGGGAAGTTTCCACACTTCTATGCTTCTCATAGGTCAGTGAACAGAGCGGAGAGAGATTAAAAACCTGTTGTTAGAAAGTAATGGTGAGAAAAGTCAGGTATCGTTTATCAATTAATGTTCTGGAAAAATTGGACTAATAATAACCAGATCTTTAGAGAACTACACTACAGACACTACCTGTATCGTGACAAGTGAGCAAAATATATGGTAGAATAATGTGTTTGTTTATTAGAAATTTGAGTAACAAATTCCCGTTCTGCAAAGACATAATTAATTAGGCGTTTTAAAAACACCACGACACTGTAGCGTTTTCATGATCATATAATAAGTGACTGATATTCGGAAATGTTATAAACCCAGTCACAAAGCCGTAAAGCCATTATCAAGAACAATATTTCCAAGAAGAGTTTTGATGTCATAACACCAATTCTGGGGAAGGTACACAATCTGGTGTCAATTTTGGCGAGTAGAAGTGTTAACTTTGAGATATTCCCCTCAATAAGAAATTTTTGGGGAAAATAGGCACTACTTGCTCCGCGATAGGGAAGAACGACATTTTGACTCTTGTTCCCTCGGATAGTTTTCTTGGGAAAAAACGAAGGCCCACAAATGACATTGTCTTGTTACCTACAGGTCTGTATGTGAGGACGAACAGTATTATGAAGGTATTCAGAAGAAAAATATCATACGGAAATTTGTGGAGATTGTAATTTTATAGTTAAATCCACCAGTCCACCTAAGCCAGACGATCATTGAGAACCTGGAAGCACTAGATAGCGTCTCGTCCTAGCATGGAACTCCTCAGCAGTAAGCATCCACGATCACACATGCGCAATCCAAACCCAGGACTTTCAGTCTCGCGCTCGAACCTCTGATTCGGGATCCAATAGTGCTAATGTCTAGCTTCAATCGGTCCAGTGCTTCCATATTTTCAATGGTGTTCTAGCTTAAGTCAACTGGTGAATTTAACTGTGAAAAAATATTATCATGAAGAACGATGACTGAAAACACCCACTCCCGAGTACTATTGTTGTAACGGTTAATTTAATAAACCACGCCTTCAATCTACAATTTATGTAGTCTGAAATATAAAACAAGCAATTCCTAATATCTGAGTTACTGGAAGGCTTTCTTTAGAACAGAATGGTTCAACCCTCTCAATCAACCCAGGCAAATATTATACAGTGGTTTTGCTGAGGCACAAACTGTAATTCCAACCAAGTGTACTTCTGAATAATCTTTTTTAAATTTTTGACAACAATGCTGGTTAGGTATATGGGTCGGAGGTTCTAAGGTTTGTGTCACGTACCCGTTTTGAAATTATGGTTTATTATAACTTCCTGCTACTCATTTGGTTACCGATCCTAGGTTACAGATAAACTGAAACATACGCTTGAGGGATTCGCGAAGAAGTGTTCTAGTTCCCTTAGTAACCCAGGATGCATTTCATCGGGTCCCATAGATTTGATTATATAAAGCTTATTTAGCAGATCAAAGACATTGTCACAGTGTTCAGAGTGCGTGTGAAGCGATGTATGAACTGCAAGGGAGGGCACTTCTACGGTATATACATTAGCAAAGTGGTTCAAGAATACCCGAGCTCTACATTATCGCCCACACCACTAATGATCCGGTACTACTGTCAATACTGCTGTCTCACCACAATGCTGAACTATTTCCTTTTCTCTTAGTCTTTCGGTTTATGTACGAGTACAAGCGTTTAAGGTATAGCATAGACTCCTTAACAAGCTTGTCTTGTACAACATTCC